CCCTCAAACTGTGACTCATACAAATGAAACAATTTCATATTTCTTTAACAATTTAGCTTTGATGATTTTTTAAAGGAATTAATTGATTCAATGCATTGATTTCAGTGCATTTAGGTGATTTTCAGTACCTTTTAGTTTGATGCTCTGGTCTGTGGTAATCACATCCTCACTGCAGCTCAGAAGTGAGTGTGTATTTACACTAACTTTGATGCAAAACCTGTTTTTATATACCTTTGTGTGTGTGCCGTTCATACATGAAGCTCCAGGTCTTCAGTATTTTAGCTGTTGTACTTTTCACCAGCAAACTAGATCCTTTCATCCAGTTTTGTGCTGAAGGTCTGTCCCAGGTCCAGGACATGGGCCTGCAGGTTTTCCACGCCGGCACCACCCTGAAGGATGGAAGTGTGATTTCCAGCGGCGGTCGCGTCCTGACGGTGACGGCAGTGAAGTCGTCTCTGGAGACCGCCCTGCTGGCAGCCAATCAGGGAGCAGCAGCCGTCGGCTTCCYGGGTGCCGTGTACCGRCGGGAYATCGGCCACAGGGCCATCGCTCACMTGAACCAGAGCAGGTRTGGACCAAAAACACAGTTTARTTTGTAAATCTGCTTGTTTATACAATTATCTGGTCTTTGATCTTAGGTACAAAACTCAGAATTGCATTATCAGGATTAAAGCTCAGTATGTTTGTCAATAAAAGCTCTTTAATTATATTCCTAACAGATGTCTGACGTATAAGGACAGTGGAGTGGACATAGCTGCTGGTAACAAGCTGGTGGAGCTGATCAAACCTCTGGCCAAGGCAACATCCCGCCCCGGTAACATCATTTATACAGAAACTGAGAAAATCAAAGTTCTGTTCATGTAAATGACCGAGCAGTTAAGCCAAGTGAAGAACACGTCCTCTGTATGTTTGTGTGGCAGATAGCGCTGCCACAAATGATTATTTTTTATAGTCAATTAATCACCAATTAACATGACAGCGCTCGCTGCGAGACAGGAGGAAAGGAGACCAGAAAAAGTTCAAAACTTAAGCTTATTTCTAGCGGCAGAACAGGTTGGAAGATGGCTGTTTGATGTTATTTATTGGGGTTTTTTTTAATCATCCTACAGGCTCTGACATGTTAGATAAATTTGAAAATGAGGTTTTGAAAATATCCGTAAGACTTGAAAAAATCTGTGAGATTGCTCTAAACGTCCGTATACCTGCAAAATTACGTAAAATCCTTATAACTTACGGACAATCTGTACAAGTGGACATGTGTGGTCAAAGACAGAAAGGCAGATGCAGCAGTGGAAGGTGTCAAAGCAGTTTGGAGAGAAAAACAGTAAAGAACAAAAAAAATGACTAATCGATTATTAAATTAGTCATCGACTATTTTAATAATCCATCAGTCGTCGACTGATCGTGGCAGCACTAGTGGTAGAGTAATTTTAATACTGTATATATATTTTTTGTTCTTCCTGTCAGGTTGTAGGTCAGAACTGGGAGGTTTTGCAGGACTGTTTGATCTGAAGGCAGCAGGGTTTGTCGACCCAATCCTGGTTTCTGGGACAGACGGCGTTGGGACCAAGCTCAAGGTGTTAATAAACTCTTTAATTTTTCCTGTTCATTAATATTTTAACAGAAGCAAACACTACTATCKGTGATATTTTCCACCCTCAGATTGCCCAGGCGTGCGGGCAGCACGGTGGTCTGGGTCAGGACCTGGTAGCCATGTGTGTGAACGACGTGTTGGCTCAGGGMGCCGAGCCGCTCTTCTTCCTCGACTACTTCTCCTGCGGCCGCCTCGACGTGGACGTGGCTGCCTCCGTGGTCGGCGGCATCGCTAAAGCCTGCAAGACGGCCGGCTGCGCTCTGCTGGGTGAGGCGAGGTGTAACGTTKAAAGACGACACAGCTCGGCTGTTTGGAAAAACTAAAGCTGATGTTACGAACAGGCGGKGAGACGGCAGAGATGCCGGGCGTCTACGCTCCCGGAGAATACGATCTGGCCGGTTTCTGCGTCGGTGCAGTGGAGCGGGGGTCCCTTCTGCCCAGGATGGAGGACATCGCAGAGGGAGATCTGCTGATCGGGGTGGCCTCCTCTGGGCTTCACAGCAACGGGTTCAGTCTGGTCCGCAAAGTCCTGGAGAGGACCAACCTGAGCTACAGCTCCCCTGCTCCATTTGGGAAGGCAGGACCAACTGTCGGTGAGTTCACTTCATTTGTGAGCCATCATATCAAAATGAGGTGAAATTTGGTCAAAATGACCTAATTACAGGGTTCCCATGGGTCCTTGAAATCCTTGAAAGTTTGTGAATTTGAAAAAATTATTTCAAGGTCCTGGAA